GAGATATAACTTTGCTTCGGAGTCGCTAATATCGTCCATGGCGAGCATATATATCTACGTATGTATAAACGGTGGTCCGGTAGAAAAGGACGTATCCTCGAACATCGTTATTCGTTCTTGAAAGGAGGTGTCTCGATCAATCATTCGAGATATAACTTTATCGTGATCTTAGAATATTGTTATCATCGTACGATGTCAGTGGTGAATCGAGAAGTACATTGTGCGTGAGTGCTCAAGTTCCATTCCCAAGAAATCGGCGTGAGCATGTTGTTGTGAGAGTATCAACCACTCAAGATGGATGGATACGTCACTTGGAGGAGAAGACGAACAGCTTTGCGAGCTGCCGAGGTGAGTTCGATGGTCGAGAGAATTGCACGACGGAATCGAGCTTGACGAAATTTCTTATCTTTAAAACGTACCGCTCTTGTTCTCTTTACGATCGACGTGAAGGTGAATGGAAAAGGAAAGAAGATGAAAAAGAAGAAGAAAAAGAAGAAGGAGGAGAAGAAGAAGAAGAGGCGGAAGAAAGAGAAGAAGGAAATAAAAAAAAGGGAAGAAAACATAAGAGGCTCGTGGCGCAAGGTAAAAGGGAAAATTTTTTTTTTCCTCTCGCGTACTTCTCGAAGCTCTCGAGCTTGCTGCTATAGATCGAACGAAAAGGCGTGAAAACGAGGAGGAAAGGCGAGGAGGCTACAAAACGCCACGAAGCATCGACAGAAACAAATGTTCTCGTCGCGGCTAATGAAACTGCCTCGAGGGCAGGAGGAGGTAGGAGATGGGAATGGGAAGAGGAAGAGGGCGGGGGTGAGACAGAGAGAGAGAGAGAGAGGGAGAGGGAGAGAGGGAAGGGATCAGAGAGATAGAGAGGCAAGGGGTTTACGAGGGATGGGAAAGAGAAAACACCGTTGTGAAGCTCGATAGCGGGAACGAAAAAGGGTTGGGGGCTTAACGATCGGTCATGTGTGTGTACGTATGTGTGAGAGGACCGCGTGGTCTATATCGCGTTGTGGAAACTGGGTTTCCCGAAAGAAAAAAATTTCCGATGCTTCTATCGATCTGTCTTCTTCCGCCACATTCTCTCTCTCTCTCTCTCTCTCTCTCTCTTGCTCTCTCTCTTTTTCTTTCTCTTTTTCCTCTTCATCTCTACTAACTCTCACGTTTATTATTTTTTTTCTTCTTCCTTCTTCTTTCTTCTTCTTCTGATTTCTTTTTGCAAAAGTAAACGAATTAACGTTATGAACTTGAAATTCTTCGAAAGGAAAGTATTATCGACGAGAGAAAGAGAAAGTTCTATAATGGTTTCTTATTGATCTATCTCGCCTTCCTTAGATTAGATTCCTTTTCTTTCTTTCGTCCTTCGTCCTGTCGTTCACGGCATGGGAGATGGTGTGTGGGTGGTGACCGAAGGTTCGAAGGATCATCGAAGAGAAGAGGGAAGTCCTCATCAACCCCACGCGTTCCTAACTGTGTACGTCCATAATCGACGAGTTATCATCCGCTTTCTATTATCCGTTTCATTTTTTCCGTTGGCAAAGGAGAAGAGCCTGTGAAATCTTTCGTGGACACAGTGCTCGGCGTAGGATTATCGATAAAGATCGAATAGCAGAGACGAGAATGTAGCACGACGATGGCTATATGCGATAAATCAAAATGGGACAGCTTCTCTTAGAAACGGTATTAGAGGATCTCGTAAACGGGCACGGGCAATGAGTATGGGCACGGGAACGCGCTTATTTGAAGGACGTGCGTTGGCTAATAAAAAATATATTACGTCGATAGGTAAACGAGTCATACGACCCCTCGTAAATCAATCCAGGAAATGTCGGGGAAGAATGGAATCGAGCGAATCGACGGATAGCACTGCGGTTAACTGCGTATGGCTTACCTAGTCTTTTGCCTCCCCCATTGTTTATCTTGTTCCTTCGAATTTCGCCACGGGGAAGAAAGCATATTACAAGCCCAGCCGTTATATTCATTCGACCCGTAATTACAAGCACGATGTAAACGAGCTGCCGGCGGTTATTCCTGTAGTCGGGCGTAAATCGTGGTGCCGCGACCGATTCCGCGACGTCAGACTTATCCTTGGGCTGATCTCCTTCTCGTTTGTTCGTATCTTTCTTATTTCTTCGTTCTCGTTTTCTCGTTCCATTTCGATCATCACCGATAACACCCTACCCTTGTTTGGCCGAGAAACGGACGAGCGCTCGTTTAAAAATACGTATGGTACATAGATACTCTCGGCCCAACGGGGAAACGAATTATCTACTTTCTCATTGAGCTTAGAAGCATCTTAAATGGATAGAGTCGATTTGACGGATGCCCCGGTTAAGGAACGAAAATAACATCGCGCGAAGATATAAATACTACGCGGAGCAAATCAATTTTGTCATAGCCCAAAGAGAGAAAGAGAGAGAGAGAGAGAGAGAGAGAGAGAGAGAGTGAGAGAGAGAGAGAGAGAGAGAGAGAGAAACTGTTGAATCGGTAAACAGTTACGTATTCTCGTTTGCGATCATACATTTCTCCATCAAACTATCCTACGAAGTTAGCGGTATGAAGCTTAAAAAATTCTTCGACCGCTATATAGAGAACGAAGGATGGAAAGTCCGCCTACATTGCATACTAGGTGAATTATGCATGCTAAATAGCATACTCGGAAGTTCACCGAGGTATCGGGTCGTAATCCGTGCGTGAACGATCGCAAGATGAGAATTTAACTTTGGTTTATAGCCTTTGGTCTATACTTTCTATAGGCTTCTCCCAACCTAACGGACGTACTTACTTATGACTTAGTCACCGCTTCTTTTTATCGACTTCTCGCTTTGCATCGTGAAGAGCTAAACTCTTGTGAAATAAGAGAAAGAGGAAGGAGAACGGTAAAACTTTTTCTCGAAGAAAAACTTTTTCTCGTTAACAGTGTCCATTGTTGTTGAGCCTATTATTAAGAACTGATGTTACGACGTATAGTGGCGCCATCGATGCGTCACAAGGTTGTAGAATGTTACTGCGAAATCATCGACTGTAAACTAAATGACCGATGCTGCATTATATCGTACTACTCGATGTGTTGTGGTCTATCTATTATCGATCGGTATTAACCGTACTCGCATGAAACTCATAGAAAAATCGAACGTACCGAGAAGCCACATCAATCCACCAAACTCTCGTCGAAAGATACCGAGAACTCTTTATGCAATTCCATTGTGACATTACGTTCTTCTTCGAGAAAAAAGAAAAAGAAAAAAAGAAAGAAAAAAAAGAAAAGAGAAAAGATGTTTGACGAATACTGACACGCTGTTAATATTTCTCTTTTATTTTGTAAAAAGATAAAAAAAAAAAAAAAAAAGAAAGTTGAAAGAACACGTAGTCGATAATGACCTTTCTCGTATTCCTTTCGTCTACTCCGCGTTACACTGATGACGTAGTTGGACGAATTTCTCATTTTTCATCTCGACGAAATTAATCTCCAAGTAGGACACTCATTGTACCAGCAAGTAGGTAACGAAAAGAGAAGAAAAAAAGAAAAAAATAATAATAATAATTAAAAAAAAAAAAAAAAAAAAAAAAAAAAAAAAAAAAAAAAAAAAAAAAAAAAATAAAAGAAAGAAAGAAAAGAAAAGTAAAAAAAAAGAAAAGAAAAAAAGAAAACTTCATTATTATAGCACCGGCACGCGACGAAGAACCGTCTTTCCTACCCGCCTCGTTCCTTTTAAATTGCAAACATAATTGCTAGGCTCTTCCTCTCTCTCTCTTTCTCTCTCTCTCTCTCTCTCTCTCGCTCTCTCTCTCTCGTTCGACAAAGTCGTACGTTTCTCACTGGACCTCCATTCGTACGCTGATACGCCGCTTTAATTACTACTACCAAAAGGGGTCGAGGAGGGACCGAGAGGAGAAGAAAAAACGTAGATAGCGTTTGTCCACTTTATCTGGATATCTTTAACAGAAACGATCGCTTAAATAGGATCCACTTTCGCGGGACAAAAGGGACTTTATTACGAAGAGGCTGCTTGCGACAGACGAGAGAACAGGAGGGTGGAGAAGGGCCGAGGAGGGAGAGATCGTTTCTGGAATCGGACCGGCCGATCGATATAATCAGACGGTAGAAGAGGTAATTCGGAATATGGGACTCGACAAAAATAATGAAAAAGGCGCGAACGTACGTTGTTCGATAAAGTTAAACGTTGAAGATCGAAAGATACGTTTTCGTCCTTCATCACGACCTGATTTCGCGTAAAGGTAGAAGAGTAAAAGGGCAAGAAGAAGTCTGTGATACGTAGTTTAAAATAGATGATCGAAGTAACACAGAGAATTAGTAGATTCCCTGTACACGAGATTCGTTTCGATTGAATATGTCGTCTTCGTCGTATTGATGTCGTTGATCTCTCGTAGCCGTAGAACTGTTCGGTGACCGTCTGGATATACAGGGTGAGAAGTATCCTCCAGGTTCCTCGACTTCGATCCAGACGGCTACGCAAGCTCTGCGGATGAAAAGAAGGAAGGAAGGAAGAAAGGAATAGAGGACAGACGGACGGACGGACGAACGAATGGACGGATGGATGAAAGGAAGGAAGGAAGGAAGGAAGGAAGGAAGGAAGGAAGGAAGGAAGGAAGGAAGGAAGGAAGGAAGGTAGAAAGGAAGCAAAAGGGGTGCACGCATGACCCTGAACCCAACCACCACGCCATCCTATACAGGGGTGCGAAGCATGGAAAAGGATAGAGAAAGGGAGGAGGGTGAAACGAAACAGAGAGAGAAAGAGAGAGAGAGAGACGATGTGGAGGAAGAAGGGGAAATTACACGTACACATACAACATAAACGCACGCGGACGCATACAGATACGTATACTCTAGGGGTGGATTGGAAGAGAACGAAGAGAGAGTGAGAGAGAAAGAGAGAGGGACTCCGCCGAGGAGAGAGTACAGTCCTCGGGATCAATACTCCCGCGTCTTGCGATCATTCATCTTGCCACGCCCCTCTGCTCTCTCCACACACACACACACACACACACACACACACACACACACACACACGTACGAATACACATAGACCTTCTCTCTCTTTCTCTCTTTCTCTCTCTCTCCCCCTCTCTCTCTCTCTCTCTCTCTCTCTCTCTCTCTTCTTTTCTCATATACACAGATAGATATATAGTGTCTCAGTCTCTTTCTCTTTCTCATTCTCACGCACGTACACGATCAGGGTAGGTAACACGCACGAACATATAACACTGCTTCTTTCTCCGCCGCCATCTTCATCCCTCTGGCTCGGTACACCCCTCGTCGTCGTCGTCGTCGTTTGGCGCCCAATCGTGGCGTGTCCATTACGAATACACCGGGGCTAAGGGTAAAAGGAAGGAGGGCTAAGGGCGAGGAGAGGGAAAGTCTGAAGGGCAGAACGAAAGAGATAGCAAGGGCGTGCGTAATAGAGAACGGCATAGCTGGTTGCCGTAGCGAGGGTGGTGGTAGGAGGTTAAACTGTTTAGCGAGCACGTACTAGCGCGTACACACTCGTGCGTACACACTCGTGCGTACTCGCGCGCGACCGTAGCAGCGCGTACTACGGCTGCACTTGACTCGTCCTCGTTGCACGTGATTCAAATGAATTTCTGAAACCGTCAACCCTCTCTTCTTTCCTTCTTCCTCCAAACATTGAGTCTACTCGAAAGAGGGAAAAGAAGGAGGGGAAGGTGGATGAGAATGGGAGGAGTGGAGATGGGAGCGGAGGACGAAAGAGACGGCGCTTACGGGGGATGAAGGCGCCTGCTTGGTAGGGTGGTCTCAAACAGGGACGGAGAAAGAAAGAAAGAAAGAGGAAAGAGAAAGAGAGAGGGGGAGAGAGGGAGATAGTGTGGGTGGATGCCCGCTCCAGATAGAAGGCCTCGCTCTGCCAATAGGACGAACGAACCGGTCGATCTGATTGAGCGGTCCGATAAAAGAGTCTGCAATCTGACGGACGAAACTCTCTTTCTTCGTTTCTTCGAGATCGATATATTATCTCTTTCGTCTTTCTGCACGGATTCTTTCTCTTCTTATTTCTCCTACTCTCCTTACTATACCGACTTCCTTTCCTCTTCCGCGAATACTACTCTTTCCTCTGGTTAAAACGAACGGCCTGCCGATGGCTGCCGTCCAAAATCTCTTTTCGTTTATCGTCCAATACCCGATCGAAACTCTTATGGATGAGAGAGAGAGAGAGAGAGAGAGAGAGAGAAAAAGAGTGATAGAGAGAGATGTCGCGGGGCGGAAGTAAGAGAGTATCAATGACGAAATAGTATTTCTTTTTCTTTTTCCCTTTATTGTTTTTCTTTTATTTGACGAGTCATCGATTTAAGAGGAATATTCATTGCGGACACATTAGATCTCGTAAGATTTCTAGCGGCATGGTCATTCTCGGAAATCGATTTAAATCATTGCATCGTTTCTACGGAGGCGTAAATTAAGACACGACGTCCGCGTTAAACTTAACATGCGTCGGGTTTTACCAAGCGATAGCCTCTCTAGTAACTGCACGAGGATCCTCCTCGGCGTCGTTCGAGACGCATTTGTAAGGAGCGTGACAAGGTAGTAAAAGCTCGGGCTCGTCAAAGCGTGAATTTTTATTAACGTTGACGATTTTCACGGGGAACGAGTTCCGCGATCTAGCGGTAACTGCATATGCTACTCACGTACGTTTCCACATAAATATCCGTAAGAGTACAGCGTAAGAAGTGTACTTACTCCTCTATTCCTTTCTTTCTCTCTCTCTTTCTGTGTCTGTCTGTCTGTCTCTCTTTCTCTAACGCAATGGAACGCAGAATATTTCCACTATAAACAGGCTCACGTACGACGTACTTATCGTTTACCGGAACGCAGTACGCGGTTCAGAATTACTAATGTGCACCTTTTCTTTTCTATTCAAACGAGCTTCGTTTTCTTCGAACCTAAAAAAGGGGCACGAGCGAAGGAGAACTACTCGGCCTCTAGACAAGGTTTGGGGAGAGGGATAAGCGAGGGAAAAGTTAGAGGAAATTAGAGCTAGGAAGGATGTAAAGATCGTGAGAAAAATAAAAGGAAAGCTTTGTATTGTCGGCGCAAGGAGAAGACCGATAGAAAGAAAGGTGGCGACGAAGGCAGGAGGAAAGAGAAGACATTCGTTCGGTTTAAAGACCGGAATTATTCGCGATGCTTCTCCTTTGAATTTCTACCTCGTCCTTGCCATAGATCTTTGTCTTTACGATTCTTACACGGTCTCTATCTCTTTGGCTTGTCGAATGGTATCGCGAAAAAAAAAAGAAAAAAAAGAAAGCAAAAAGAGAACGAAAAAGAAAGAAAGGAGGGAAGGAAGGAAAGGAAAAGACGATGCAAAATTACGTTCCTTTCGAAAATCTTTTACTTTCAATCTTATAGCCCAGAGAAATATTAATTATATAACTTTTCGAAATGTGCAGCGATGAAGGCCGAGGGTGGCGGAGAGGTCTGGAATGGTTCCGGGGGTGCAGGCGACGAAGGCGGAGGACACATCTTCCAACTAACGAGGCTCCAGCAACACGCTAATTCTGACACGAGCTTCAGTCGGTGAGTAAACTGATTTTGACCATCCTCGAAAATTTTCCGAATTATACATAGCGACGCTCTACCTGCTTTTCTTGTATCGTATACGGAAAAATAAAAGGTGTGGCCGTATAAAAATCTTCATAAAAGGAACGTTCAGATAGCGTGTCGCTTTTTTTTTTCTTTTCTTTTTTTTCTTTTTTTCTTTTTTTTTTTTTTTTTTTTTTTTTTTTTTTAATACGACTTCGATCTCACTGTTAGAAAAATTCTACTTCAAATATATCTCTGATTCTCATGATGCACGAAACATAATTTTAATGGTTCTGTATTCTTCTTTACCTTTAATCTTTTTTCTATGATGAATGACAGTAACGCAGATTATGGTGATTTTGCTTTCATTGGTCTCATAAAAAAGAGAAGAAAAAGGAAAAAAAAAAAAAAAGAAAAAAAAATAGCGAAAGTTCCATATTTGATCATATACGGTCTTTGAAATAGAGAAGAAAATCCGTAAAGAACGTAGGTATGCTATAGCTCATCGAAGTCGTCCTTCTTGCGTGTACGCCGGAAGTATCGTCGTGCCGCAAACGTAAGCTGGCCGTAAATGTTCGAAGATAGAACCATTGGTGAAGCTTCTTCATCCCAGAAAGAAGATCCACGACTTTCTTTTTGCTTTTAGTCTCGACCCCTCTTCGACCTGAACCGTTTTGTCGTTGTCCAAAGTTTCTCAAACTTTAACTACTTCTCTCTCTCTCTTTCTTTTTTCTTTTTTCATTTCTTGTTTTATCTCCCTCTTCTGTTGCGAACCAACAGTTAACTCTTTTTATTTGAGATCGAGCGAGCATACTTCGAGTCATAAAATTATGACCCATTTGCAATATAAAAAAGGAAGAAAGAAAGAAAGAAGAAGAAGAAGATGAAGATCCGTTCATATCCGAAAAAACGAAAATAAAAAGATCGTTTAGGGTTAATTATCGAACGAGAATCACTTACAAGATATATCTTGCATTTGATTCGAGTCGAGGACAATTTAAGAATATAGAAACGCTGATGAAGAGGAAGCAATGGGTCCAAAAAACTAGTGCACGGTAGTTATCTAGCGTGCGCGGAAAGAAGCCCGCTACAAATCGGACGTGGCAGAGCCCAGCCAAATATACACAGTGCGTCAGCGTCGCGGCGCGCGGCGTCGCGTTCTCCCTTCCTGCACCACCAACTGCCGGTCGCCTCGTTTGAGGTCAACGTCATCCACTTCTCTCTCTCTCTCTCTCTCTCTCTCTCTCTCTCTCTCTCTCTCTCTCTTTTTCTCTCTCTTTTCTCTTCCTCTTTCTTTCCTCCCCATGTAACCTCTTCTCTTCGCTTCACGTTCTCTTCTTCACGTTGTCTTTATCTTTCTTAAGCCTTTTACGTTTTACTCTGACATTCTGTACTTCGTTTATAAATTAAGAAGAAAAATAAAGAAAAAAAGAGAAAGAAATAATAATAATCGAACGAATCGCATTAATTATACAAGATTGTTCTTTTTTCTTTTTTTCTCTTTTTTTTTCTTTTTTTTTTCTTTTTTTCTTTTTTCTTTTTTTTTTCTTTTTTTTTTTCTTTTTTTTTAGCAAAAAAAAAAGCAAGGAAAAGAGACCACTTATTTATTCGGAACGTAGGTATCGTTTGCAAGAAGTGCTAAAACGATGGTCGCATTCCGTAGGTTGCTTTCCTTTTCGCAGGTGCCGAGAAGCCCCAGACCATGTAATTAAAAGCGTCTTTCGTAACCGCGCTCACTCTTGGATGGTTTCCTATTACCCTTTCCCGGAGGAGGAAGAGGAGTAGGAGAAAATACTGTGCGTTCATACGTTCATGCGTGCGTACGTGCATGCGTGTATGCGTGCGTGCGTGCATGCGAATTATGTGCTCTTATAGGATTCGTTATAGTTTCTTCCGGTGAAAAGGTGACGGGAAAGGTGGACGTTTATCGTTCGACGCAACGTTATTCTCTTTTGATATTAGGACAAGTCTTTTCTGATGGATGCTTACCACTTGAATACGGTTTTGGCGCCAGGGCGTGCGCGTTTTCTCTCGAAATACGAGGTGCGTCAAGTATTCTGGAATACCAGGACGGATTATGAGGCTCTTAGAAAGCGTCCGGCTGATTCTGAGACACGGGCGCCGAAGAGGAGACGAAACAAAATACTGCTAAAATTAATCCGCACCTTAGGTCACGTCTGCAACGAGTCTAGACGACGACGACGACGACGACGACGACGACGACGACGACGACGACGACGACGACGACGACGACGACGACGACGACGACGAAGACGACGATGAAGACGACGATGAAGACGACGACGACGGAGAGAGAACGCCGACGAAGACGTTGACGACGTACAATCCCCGAAAATGGATCGAAACGCGTGGGCACGATATATATTTTAAAGAGTTCTGGTATTTCGGCATTCGTTATTTCTATTAAACGCCATTCATCTCTGTTAA